AGGTAGCCTCTTCCTAGTTCCCACAACGTCCTGCGGCCACACCTGCTCACGGGGCCTGGAGAAGCGCACCTTTCACCAGGCGCACGCCCTGCGTCGTGGCAGGGTTCTGCTTTATCGGGTCATTTCTTCAGGGTCTGGGGCAGAGCAGTCTTGCTCGGGAGAGAACATAATTGTAGGTGCTTGCTTTGAAGGAGTTGGTTCACGATTTAGAAGTCAGGTGGCTCTGGAACTGAAACGCCTGCTTGAGATAAGTCAGTGCTGCCCCTCACCCCAATGCCCCACTGCTCTGTAAGTTCGAGCGGAGTTGGAAGTGATGACAGCCCTTGTCTCCGCCGTCACACTGGCTGGGGCTGGCGGGGGGGAGGAGGAGGAAAGGGCCGGAGAAGGCAGCTCGAGGAGCTCTCGAGGTCACGACTCAGCGCGCGTCTTGGGGAAGTGAAATCTGTAACATTCCGCTTCAGGAGCTGACGTGTGCCGCGTCCCAGGATGCTCATTTTTTTTTTTCGCCACCTTCTGAGGATAAAAGTTACTGCAACTTGTAGTCAGGGGCATGATTTAAAGAATTCTTCTTTGTCACAGCCCAGTTCTCAACTGTCAGTTAGGATAAGAAGCAACTTATTTTTACTTATAACCTGCTGTTGCTAAAGGGTCTAGAAAACGGCCCCTGGTTCAGAAGTTACCAGGAAAACAGTTCAGTCTTTACGGCCTCTGATTTCCTAATGTTTTGTCGAAGATGCTCTACTGTTAACAAAATGAGGGAGGGGTCATAGCCCTCAAAACAGCAAATTCCCAAACACACCCTCAGCTCTGGGAAGGACTCCTAGCTTCCGCACGCACCAGAGGCGGCTGCGGACCCTGGCCCAGGCACACAGCGGAGATTCTTCCCCCTCCACCTCCTCGATGCCTCGTGAAACGCTCTCAGTCAGTCCGAGGTGTCGCTGTGGTGGAGACACTTACAGGTGGAACTGTTCTCCAGGCAGACTTAGATGCACCTGCCTGGCCTGTAGCAGGGGAGCCGTGGACACCCAAGGTGAGCTCCCCCAGAATCCTGGGGTGATCGGATAAGTAGAGTGAGCTCAGGTTTCTGCCCTGCACACCCAGATCACAGAATGTTGGGACGGGAAGGTCCTTAGAGTTCATCTGGCCACCCTTCCCTCATTTTACCGAAGGGACAACCAGGAAAAGCCTGACCGTTACACGCCTAGGTAAGTCATGGTCGGAACTGGGACCCGGGACCCTTACTTGCTAGCTGTGTGACTTGGAGCAAGTTCCTTGACCTCTCTGTATTTCAGGTTTCCCCTTCCAGGTCGGCATGAGGACTGAAGGAGTGGTTTCCTGTAAAGCACCAAGCACAGGGCCCAGCTCGGGACGGGTACTCCGTCCCCATGAATGGCTGTCCCCATGGTCATCCCCCCTATGACGCTGTTCTGCCTGCCTCAAGCAGCTGAAAGAAACGGCGAATGGCCTTGTGCCTAAGAACCCAGAAGGCTGAACACGTGGGCAGGACTGTGAGGGAAACCCACGGGGCCGGAGGAAGCCGGTTCACATCCCGCTGGGCCTTCTCCCTAACTAACCCGCGGCTGGTTGTGGAGGAGAGACGTTCTTAGCTCAGTGTTATTCATTCATAGGGTTTGCTCCTATCTGGTTCACAGAAGGGAGGTTATGGTGAACACAGACGCAGTACAGCGTGAAAGTCCAGTGAGCCACAGGGAAGTTCTGGTTATCGGCTGAATTCCAGCTCGTGGAACCCAATTACCAGTGTTGGGATGGGGGAAAGTCCCTTGAGAAGTTTTATAAGGTCGCCCTGGCCAGTGCACCTCAGCTGGTAGGAGCATCGCCCTGTAAACCGACAGGTCCTGGGTTGGATTCCCAGTCAGGGCAGGTGCCTGGGTTGCAGGTTTGATCCCCCGCCCCCCCCCCCCGGTCAGGGCATGTGTGGGAGGCACCTGATCCACGTTTCTCTCTCGCGCTGATGTTTCCCTCCTCCTCTCTCTCCCTCTCTTCCCTGCTCTATAGCATGTCCTCGGGTGAGGATAACAAAGCAGAGGGTGGGGTTTATAAGGTCTTGGAAAAGGATTTTGAGTCATCAGCTTATGTTTTCAAAGATTTTATTTATTTTTGGAGAGAAGGGAAGGGAGGGAGAAGAACATCGATGTGTGAGAGAGACATGTATCGGTTGCCTCTCTCATGCACCTCCTCCCAACCAGGGGCCAAACCCACAACCCAGGCGTGCGCCTGGCTGGGAACCAAACCGACAAGCATTCACTTCATGGGACAACGCTCAGCCCACTGAGCCTCGCTGGCCAGGGCTTGAGTCATCGGCGTGGATTTGCTGGCCCACGGGGGCTGCTGCTGTGGGGGGCGAATGGAAGTGGCCTCCTACACAGCATGCCTGCGCTGGGCGCACAGCTACAGCTTCCAGTTACAGGGTTCGAGCCCCGGTTCATCAGATGAGAACCTGGACGTGAGGGCGTTAACGTGAGCATTTTCCGGCGTTACTCTCTTGCCTGGGTGGTCGCCTCCCTGAAGCACGCTTCATTCCAAACAGGGCAGGGTGTGTGTGTCTGTGGGGGGCGACCTCAGTGACTGTGCAGGCGGCAGCCGTCGGGCAGAGTCTGCTCTGGAATCCGTCCTCAGGAGGCGGCTGTCAAGCGCTGTAAATGCTGCCGTCAGATCTACCCCATAGGGCGCATCGGCTAGCAGAAGACATGTTAGAAGAGAGAATTCCCCATCGAAGAAACGAGGGCTGTGCAAGGTACACGCGTGAAGTCGGCCCGGCAGCCCACTGGAGCCGCGGCGCAGGCTCTGCTTTTCCCCACTTGGCAGTGTCTCCGGTCACTGAAAACTCCTTGTGTGGACACTGGCAGTGGGCTCGTGTGGACGGCTACATTACTGGGCCATTTCCCTGTTATCTTTTCGGCCGTACTCGCCCTGTTATACGTAGGTTGCTGAGGATTTCGTTAGTGAAAGTGACGACTTGGGGAGCGTCAATGTGCGTCACGAGTCACACTGCTGATACTTTGGTGGGGGCGAGGCAGATCTTGCTTCTGAGTCTGGCTGCCCAGCCTTCGGCACGTTGCTGCATCCTTCTTTTTCTCGTTCATCCAACGGGACCCACAGACTAGGAATGAGCACCCAGCTCCCCAGCGTGGGTGTGAGGGGTCGGGGTCACGGGCCCGAGGACAGGCCTTTGATCGTGCCCGTGTCCTTTCCTCCAGCAAGGGGGGGGCGGGGCTGAGGTTTATGATCCTCAGTCCAAGGTAGCCCTGATGCTCTGCAGTGCAAGCTCAGGGAAAGGGAGGCTTTCTGAGACAAAGACTGCACTGTTCGCTCACACACGTGGCGCCCTGGGAGTGGTGCAAGGTGTGGGCATCAGGAGGCTGGCCGCTGGTGCCCTGCGGACACGGTCGTTTGCACCTTTTTCGGTTCTTTTTGGCTGATTGAAAAGATGGCGGTGATCAGTCCAATATAGCAGGTAATCAAAAGTCATGGACTGTCCTTTCTTTCATAAAATGGAATGTTTTAAAACCAAATAAACAAGAGAGGATCTAGAAATTTTAAATGCCTGGGACATGTCGCAAAATCGCAAGAAGTCTCATCCATTGGAAAACCGGTCTGTCGGGCTTGTGGACGGGCTCCGGCAGCACACCCGAAGGTGCCCGGGTCCCCCACTGTTCCCTGGTGAGGCTGCAGCCAGGACCCTGAAGCCGGGGCAGCCCCGCCGCGCCTTTGTTCCGGGCCTTGATTCACTGCGCCTCGTTCTGTAGATCTGTCTCAGCCCGGGTGCCGCTCTCCTTGAGGTCCAGGACCGTGTACAGGGTCAGCTGTGTGTGACCCAAACCCCTACGCAGGCTCTCGAACTGAACAGGTGCTCAATCAATTATTGCTGTCATCGATGGCTGAGCGTCGCTCAGAACAACCACTGCCGCCCCGCCCTGCAAGAGGGAAATAGTGGTCGCCGCTGGGACGGGACAGGGAGACTTTTGGAAAGGAAAACATTAGCCCATGTGAATCTCGTGCTACACGAGAAAGCTCTTTTCCGATTCTTGGCAGGGGTGTCCCCGCTCACGTGCCTGTTTCTCCTTGTTCCTCAGGACGCCCATTGTCCTGCCGTCAATGTGCTCATTAGCGGGTCTGTGCGTGGGCAGAGAGGTCCAGGAGGTGGAAATTGCGAAGAGGAAAAGAAAAAAGCTAGAGAGACATTTTATGTTTTACCAACCAACCCCTCAGATTTCACGTCCAGGGCGTGAGGTGTGTCCTGGAAGAACTTTGTTCAAAAGTGAGAACACATTGGGGAAATTTCTCAACTCTGCACATGCTGGCGTCCGCCGTCTCTCTGCCCAGGATGGCCCCACCCCCACCCCACCCCCACACTGACAACCTCCTCTCTCCCTGACCCCTCTTTACTTTTCCACTCTCCCTGCTCCGTCTGCCCAGAACCCCAAGCCTGAAATGGGCTCCCTGCTAAGCAGCTCCCGTGGGGTCCTGTGTCCCCTCCAGCATAACGCCTACCCCAGTCTAGTAATCGCCTCCCTAGACTAGAGCTCCCTGTCTCCTCCACAGTTCCACCGCTCGTCCCTGGAACGGCACTCAGTAAGTTTATAGAGTGCGTGAGTTTCCATGCGTCCGTGCCAGCCTTGTCTTCGTATCAGCCTCTGTCTGCCTCTCTGAACACTGCCTGTGGAGTGCAGTTGTTCAGGTTTTGTGCTGTACGAGGTCGGCTGGCAGAGTGGGGAGGGGAGGCCCAAGTCCAGCCCGTGTGCTCTTCACCAGTCCCTGGCTGTATCCGCCTGCAGCACGAGGGGCCTTTTTCCGGTTTGCACAATGGCTGCAGCCCTGAATATCCCCTAGTGTCTTCAAAGGGAAGCAAGAAGGTCCCCCTCCTTGCTAGGAGGACCGGGACTGCGTGCTTTGCCCACATCCAAGCCAAGGCCCTACCCCCCCCATTCCCAGCAAAGCCCTCCCTCACGCCTGTCTCCTCTGACTTTTGTCCCCTGCAGGGTTTGGGATGACGACTCCGGCGACAGTAGGAGGAAAAATCTTTCTGATCTTTTACGGCCTCCTTGGGTGCGCAAGCACCATCTTGTTCTTCAACCTGTTCCTGGAGCGACTGATCACCGTCATCGCCTACATCATGAAGTCGTGCCACCAGCGGCAGCTGCGGCGACGCAGGGCCCTGCCCCAGGACAGCCTGAAGAACCTGGGCAGGTCCGAGGCGGACGGCCTGACCGGCTGGAAGCCCTCCGTGTACTACGTGATGCTGATCCTGTGCCTGGCCTCCCTGCTCATCTCCTGCTGCGCCTCGGCCATGTATGCCTCCGTCGAAGGCTGGAGCTACTTCGACTCGCTCTACTTCTGCTTCGTGGCCTTCAGCACCATCGGCTTCGGGGACCTGGTCAGCAGCCAGAACGCCCAGTACGAGAGCCAAGGCCTCTACCGCTTCGCCAACTTTGCCTTCATCCTCATGGGCGTCTGCTGCATCTACTCCCTGTTCAATGTCATCTCCATCCTCATCAAACAGTCCGTGAACTGGATCCTGAGGAAGGTGGGCGGTGGCTGCTGCCGGCGGTGCCAGGGTGGGCTCCCGCGGTCCCGGAGGAACGTGATCATGCCGGGCAGCGTCCAGAACCCGGGCAGCGTCTCCATAGAAACCGATGGGGTGATGGAGAGCGACACGGACGGGCGGAGTCCCTCGGGGGAGGGCATCTCCGAGAAGGACTGCCCGGCAGCCAGCAAGGCCTCGCTGCCCATGCTGCAGAAGCAGCTGCCCGAGGCGGCCAACGGCTGCCCCCACCAGACCGGCTCGCTGCATCGGGACAGTGAGTTCTCGGCGGGGGTGGGGGCCTTCGCGATAATGAACAACAGGCTGGCAGAGACGAGTGGGGACAGGTAGGACAGAGGAGGCCGAGGGGACAGTGGCCGAGGAGGGGACGGTCGCCCGGCCCAGCTCTGCGCCTGGCCGGGTTCCTTCTGGAGCTCCTCCTCCGGGCTCCTTTGACCCCGGCTCCAGACACCGGGTCTCCCAGGCTGCGCTCCGACGAGCGGCCAGCCTTGCGGGCTGTGGGAAGCCGGAGCCGCAGCCACCGGGCCTTTCTCCTCATCTTTATTCTTTACATTTCAACTCAGTCTTTTAAAAGCGAATCGCGCAGACCTGGCCCTGTTTCTTTACTCATCCTGCTCCAGCGTTTCGGTGGCCAGAGCAGGGCGGTGGTTAGGTGAGGCTTGATCCCCGCTGCTGTGTCCTTGATTTGGACATAAAAGTCCTGAAGGTCCTGACTTTCCCGGGGACTCTGCAGAGCTGAATCCGCTTCCTCTCCCAGCCCCTCGAAACAAAACAAGAGGCAGGGAACTGTCGGAAGATGTATCGGGGCTCCTGGCTGCCTTCAGAGCAGACTGGGCCGCGGCGCCGCGGCCACGGCAGCCGACCATCTGGTTTACTCTGTACCTGCTTCTCTGCTTTCCGCTTCTTCTTTCTTTCACTTTAAAGATCTTGATGCGTGGCTGAGGTGTCTCCGGGACCTCGGTGTGCTAAGAAGACAGAGTTCAACTTTGGGCCTTTACACTGCAGCAAAGTGGTGGGGGGGGGGGGCGGTGCTCACTTTGCAACGAGAGACTAGAGTGTAACGTTGTCCCTTCCATGGGTCCCAGGGACCACTCCATTTCTACCAGGACTTGGGGCCCATCGCAGAGATCCTGGCTGACTATTTATTAAAACCGAAAATTCAATAAATCCTCATTTTATTACCTAAGATGACACGTGTGCTCATTGCGGGCAGCGGGAGTGGGGTGACTAATTAAACAGGCATTTACTGTGCAGAGAAAAAGGAAGCAGGACATTAACCTTTGGCGACAGGAGCATCGTCTTGGATTGGCGGCTTGGATTCCAGGCCCAGGAAAGAAAATCTGAGCGCTTGTCTAAGCTGTTTCGGTTCTGCCTTCTGGGATTGTAACACGTCTTGGTTGCATAACCTCCCAAGGAGTTAAAGTGTCCGTGTGAGGAACAAGAACTCTGGGCCTTCCTCTGTGCAGGAGAGAATGTTTGGGGGGTGAGAGCAGAGTTCAAAGGACGTAGCTGTTTGTTTATATGGCAAGAGTGATGCAGCACGGTACTCCCAGAAATGAAGAGGAAAGGCGGGTGCGGTGAAGAAGACAAAGGAGAAGACGTGGCCTAAGGAGACTCGGATGTCCAGCAGACAGCGTCGGAGCTGGGAGGACCCTTAGCCACCACCCCATCCAATCTCCATGCTGTTTGCACGAGGACATGGGCACGGAGGGGCTGTTCCTCGTCTGAGCTCTCGGGGCTGATGGTGCGCAGCCAGGAGAACCCAGGCCTCCAAGGGGAGGGTGGGCTCTTTGCCAGGCCCCCCCACAGCAGCAGCTCCCCCCCACCTCCCGCTGCAACCGCTCCCTCTTCAGGCCGAGTCGCCTTTTCTTCCAGCAGGCAAACCCAGATGTTTCCTTTACGATGCCACCAGTGCCCAGCAGCAGAAGCGTCTTAAGTAGCAGCCCTGGGTCTGAACGCAGGGCTGTGCAGCTCCAACAGCAGAGATCTTCACCCATAGAAGGAACAAGCGTTCATACAGAAGAGATCCGATTGGCAGACATAGAAGGAATCGGGGAAAGAGAGCCTCGCCATCAGAACATTTGCTCCATTTGCTCCATTTGCTGGGGAGCTAACACTTAGTGACACCTACTATGTTCCGGGCACTATGCTAGACCTTTTCCTATAAAGCTCAAAGCATTCCCAAGGGGAACATGTTTTTATTCCCCTGTCACAGATGAAAATCTGAGACAGAGATTTAAGGAAGTTGTCCAAGGTCATATGGTCAAGAGGTGCCATCCACGTGACCATATACTCTACCCCTAAGTCCCCGTGGCGTCTCGAGGGGACTCCTTCACTGCTCTTTGAGTCTCACTGTGCGTCAGAGCTCCAGGTGACTGTAGCATCCCTTGCAGACCTGGGTCTATAAAGGAGGAAGTCCTTGGGGGAGATTGTATCAGTTTGCTTTGCCTACGGTCATACTACACAGCAAACAAAATCAGAACTTCAGTGGCAAACGACAGTGAGCTTTGATTTTGCTTGCTGGTCTGCAGCTGGGCTCGCTGATGCAGGGTGGGCTCTGCCCCCGGGGTCTCTCACCCTCCTCCTGGATCGGCAAGCTGCCTCAGAACGTTCTTTTCGCAGCGGTGGCAGAGGCACCAGAGGGTCAGTCGACACTCAAAAGATTAAACAGACTGTCACTTCATCCTGATCTGTCGAGCAGTGTAAGTCACGTGGTCTACCCAAAGTCAAGGGCAGGGAACTATGCACCACCTGTGGAAGTGAGGGCAGCTGCCGAGTCCTGTGGCCAAAGGTGGGTTCAGGGGGACATCCTTCCCCCCCTCTTGCCTTGTACGTGGCAGCATCCGGTGACGTAAGTGATGCAGCAAGGACATCTCAAGTTCCCTTCGGAAGCCAACAGAGCTGCTGCCTCTCCTCCTCCCTCTCATCCGGATGAGCCTGTGCCCCCTTAACCCAACACCCCTCGGTGGGTGGTGGGAAAGAAAACATTAGCTGTACTTTTTCTTCTCCTCGCTGTCCCTGCTAATGTTAATGACAATGTGATTCTCAGTTGTCTGGGTCATGAGCGGTGACAAGGCACTCCTCAGCTTCCCAACCCTTGCGTCAGCCCCCCGGAGTGTGAGGAGGAGGGAGGGAACTCCAACAGTGGATAATGGATGACAGCGGTAACCATAACGGCACTTTTCAGCTCTTGCTCTGTTCCAGGAGCTGCTTTACACAACCGACTCATTTAATAAAGAGGAGTTGCTCATCACCAGGGCTCTGGAATCCCAGGGGCTCTGCCTCCCTGCTGTGCAGCCTTGGGCAACTTACTTAACCTCTCTGGGTTAGTTTCCTAAAGCTGTTGGAACAAATTGCCACAAAACGAGTGTCTTTTTAAAAATATATATATTTTATTGATTATGCTATTACAGTTGTCCCATTCTCCCCCTTTATTCCCCTCCGCCCTGCACCCCCTCCCACCTGTGTCCCCCCTCCCCCCAGTTCATGTCCATGGGTCACAAATATAAGTTCCTTGGCTTCTACATTTCCCACTCTGTTCTTAACCTCCCCCTTCTATTTTGAGCCTACTATTTATGCTTCTTACTCCCTGTACCTTCCCCCCATTCTCTGCCTCCCCCTCCTTGCTGATAACCCTCCATGTGATCTCCATTTCTGTGATTCTGTTCCTGTTCTAGTTGTTAGCTTAGTTTGTTTTCGTTTTTTAGGTTCGGTTGTTGATGGTTGTGAGTATTTTGTTATTTTACTGTTCATAGTTTTTGATCTCCTTTTCCTTAGGTAAGTCCCTTTAACTGAGTGCCTTGCAACAACAGAAATTTATTCTCCCACAGTTCTGGGGGCTAGAACTGCTGTTTTTATTACGATGCCAGTCATCCTGGATTAAGGGCCCATCCTGTTCACACATTAGTTCCAGTATTGACCCACCCAACGTAACCAATCACATCTGCAATGACCCCGCTTTTAAATCCCTAAATAAGGTCACAGTCTGAGGTGCTGGGAGGGACATGAATTGGGGGAGGGGGATTCTGTGCAAACACCAGTACACTCTCTACCCCGTGTTTTTCTCTCTCATCTGTAAGACGGTGTCAGTGGCAGCTTCTGTATTTTGAGCTGTTAGGAGGATTGGATACGACCAGTGGCTGGAAAGCGCTGGGGAGAGCGCCTGGCACACCAGAAGTGCTTAGCAAACACATCAGGCCCCCAAATAACGTCACTTTGTTCAACGTCGTTCCGTTATAACGCTGACAAGAAAAAAAAAGATTCCGGGGGTGGGGGCCACGGTCAGCGTGGCTGCGCACTGTCCCCAAGTCCACGTGCGTTCTCTCTGCAGCCTCCCGTGTCCTCCCACAGGCCGCAGGTGTGCCCGGAGGTGAACGCGCGCATCTGCTGTGCCCGCCTGCACGGGCGAGGGAGTGTGCGCGTGCACAGGCCTGCGCACATCCTGCGGGGCGGGGCGGGGCGGGGCGTCCTGTCCCGGGTGCGTAAGGTCCGGCGCCCTGAGCTTCCAGGACGGGCTCCGACCCCTCACGACCCTGAGCTAAAGCGAGGCTGGAAAACCATTATCTTATTTGTGTGTACTCATCTTTCTGAAATGTACATGGATCTTACATTTATTTCAGTGTCTAATATGAAAAGGGTTTGGGGTCTTTATTTCGAAGTTTGGGTGATGTTTGGTGACCAGAAATATGTCACAAGAATTTGACCCTCACTCATATCCACTAGCCAATGGTGAAGTCCGTGTTGTTTTGCGGCATTTTGCTTAACGTCACGGTTTCCGAGAACCTGTCGACAACATTAAATGAGGACTTACTGTAGAAACTGTCACTGCTGTCACCATCACTGTCCCCATACCACAGTTGAAGAAATGAGACAAAATTGGTTGTCACCCTATACATGGCAGAGCCAGGTTCTCTAGTTCCTGAGCCCATGTGCATGCATACAGCAGGTGCTCAATAAGTGCTCCAGGACAACACCCTGAAACCCAGTGGGCCTACCCCCAGCCACACAGCCCCGAACCCCTCAGCTGGGCGGAGAAGGAGCCCGAGTCCTGTGACCGGCAGGACCTTGCTCACCGCCCCCCGGCAAGCCGGCTCTCTGTCTCTCAGCCATCTCACACCAGCAACGACCCCCCGCTCAGGGCTGACACACCTGGGGAATGATGCTCACTATTAATACTGGAACTGGGTCCCCATCAATTAGCCCATTGCTGCTGGCGGCTGCTTGGCTGGGATCTTGCTGGCAGCTGGCTTTTCAGCTGCGCCAAGGCCACGGGGACTTGCTGCCTGCTGCGTCTCCCCAGGGAGCTCGCTCTGCAGAGCAGGCTTTGCAGAGACAGAGAAAACCGTGTTTTGACATTTGGTGAACGCTCCTGTTAACAAATTGCAGGTAATCTTACCTCTGCGAGGGCTTCCCCGGGCACACGGCTGATTCCTCCTGGGAGCTGCGAGAAGCCCATGGGTTGAACGAGCCTGCACTCACTGCTGGGTGGCTGCGCTGGCCTGATGTTCAAGTTCAGGCAGACCGTG